AAACGCCGTTTCTCATAGGAGTGCATTGAAAACCAATTAATCTGTTCCGGAGATCAGAAAAAAGTAAACACTAATAAACACCGCATGAGTTATTTTATCAAGTCATGCGGCATTTTAGTAGTGACAACCATGTGTTAATATTTCAGCTGTCAGCGGGGTTCCCCACTGACAGCTGAATGTAAAAGAATGGCTGGCAATTAAAAAAAATTATTTAAAAAACTGCGTGGGGTCTCCCTTCCCATCCATACCAAGCCCTTCGTGTCTGGAATGGATTTTGAGGGGAACTCCCACGCCAAAATTTAAAACAAAATGGCGTGGGGGTCCTCCCCAAAATCCATACCAGACCCTTTTCAGAGCATGCAGCCTGACAGGTCAGGAAAGGGGGGCAAACAATGTTTCTTTTTAGTTTCTTAAAAGAAACAACATTTCCATTAACTTTGGGGAAAGTGAGAGCTAATTCTGTGAGCTATAGTGAAGAAAAAAAAAAGAGCCAGCAATTGCATTTAAAAATCAGCACTGACATACACTTTGTATTGCGAAAAAAATTCATACAAAATTTGTAAACCGAGGCATTATTTTCAGTGGATTTTTATTTGTAAACCGAAAATTACTTTAACCGAGGCGTTCTTAAACCGAGGTATTACTGTATATATATAATAAAGATGTGAAATTAAATAAATATCAACATATAAAATGTGATAAATAAATATAATAAAATAAACAAATTGTCCAAAAATACACAAAAATGCACATAATAAATCCAAAAATGTGTCCACTTGGTGATAATCTGAAAAAACAGCAACAACAAATGGACTGGATATGATTTTCTAATGCTCTCACCTTCATTTTAGCCTAACTTGGGCTAAAACAGCTTTTTGTCCTAAAAGGACAGATGAGGTGATTCCAGTGGTAGATGATATCCTTCCAGGGTTGATGAGTTGTAAATTGTAATATTTCTATTTTTCCACCTGGGGTCTCTCAGGTTAGTTGATCGCTGGATTGGATTAGGATGGATGGATTTCTCCCTCTCTCCTCCAGGGGTCTAATACTTTCTTTCCCTCCACTCTTTAATTCAATTTTTAGATGTGATGGCTGTATTCGTTTTCTTTTTTAGGCTTTCTTTCTTCTACCTTAATCTGGTGATCCAGCCAGTAGGTCTGTTACAAATCACACGAGATTATTATAACCATTATTATATTTATTTATTTAGTGGAGCGCAGCACATATTTATTATTTTAATTCAGTTATATGCACTATTACAGGGCTTGAAATTTCCACTCGCTTGCTCGCCAATGGTGAGTGGAAATTATGGTGGGGGCGATGATGTCCCCCAGGGCCGTCTTGCTGAGCAAGCTCAAAGTTCAGGCCGGATCTGTCATTGGCACTGGGAGCCGTCAGACTGCTCAATAGCTGAGCGCAGTGAAAGCAAAGGAAGGAGTGTGCTGTGCTCTCTGCCTCCCTCTGGAGTGCAGTACCCGGCTCTGTGAGTGAACAACGAAGTACTGCAACTTTTTATGGGGGGGGGTACGTGTTCTCCGGTTAGTGCCCGGTCGTACCGATGCGAATTGAAATCTCATCTAATGAATGTGAATCTCAGCGTCTTAACGTGCGATTTGCTGCAGAGCAATTTCCAAATTAGTTCTTGCATGACTTTTTCTGCAGTTTTGTCGTGATTTCACATCTATAGGATATAATGGAAATCGTAAGAAATCATTGAAAAAGTAGCAATAAAGTCTTCAGAAATTGCGTGATTTTAAATCGCAGCGGTGTGACCGGTGACTTAGGGGAACTCGGCGTCTCTGTTTATCCTGTTTACCATTATCATCATCAAAAGTGAAAGAAAATCCCAAATTCTGGTTAATGGAACAAAGGTGAAATCTGCTGGGGACGCCAGTTCTGGGGGGACGCCAGTTCTGGGGACGCCAGTTCTGGGGACGCCAGTTCTGGGGACGCCAGTTCTGAGGACGCCAGTTCTGAGGACGCCAGTTCTGAGGACGCCAGTTCTAAGGTCGCCCCGGGATTTCCTCACTTGGGAGGGATTTCCTCTTACTACCTGTTTTGGCTATGGGACAGGAAGTGAAGGGAAGTCTCCCCAATGGGACACAGATGGCAGGAAACACCTAGCAGGGGTTGGAGCCTTCCTTTACTCCCAGGGGAGGGTCATAATATATCTTGTCCAGTGGATTGTGGGCGGGGTTTCCTGCCGGTGATGTTTCTGGTGATATATTGGGGCTGATTTACTAAAGACAAATAGACTGCCAGTGCAGAGATTGTTACAGTGATTAGTAAATGGGGGGAAGCTTGACTTTACAATACCCAATCACATGGAAGGAAAATAAAAAGAACATTTTTTCTTGCACGTGATTGGATGATGGAAGAAAGCAGAACTTCCCGTCATTTATGCAGGCCATAGACAGGTCGTTTATTGGCCGAATTTTCGCCCGAATGAAAAATCGTCCGATATTCACGCCGATAGTGGGCCAATGCTGTCGGCCTTTTTTCGTGGATCTTCTCGTTTCTTTTTATCGGTCATATTGGAAAATTGGTGGCAGCAACGGCAACAACCAATTTTTTTGTTTATTGGCCGATAAACGGCCCGTCTATGGCCAGCCTTACTTTCCTGCCCCCCCCACGTAACAACTGTACATGTAGTTTCTCCATCAGCTCATCTCCCACAGTTATGACCTTTTTGTATATCTTGACCCTCCCTCTTAGATTGCAAGACAGTCCATAGACAGGCCGTTTATTGGCCGAATTTTCGGCCGATAAACGAAAAATCAGTTGGCCCCGTTGACGATGCTGCCACCCATGTCCACGAAAAAACGTCCGTTTTTCACGTATTTTCCAGCATGACCGATAAAAATAAACGAGGAGATCCGCGAAAAACAGCCGGCGGGCTGGCCCCACTAACGGCGTGATTATCGGCTGATTTTTCGTGCGGACTAAAATTCGGCCGATACACGACCCGTTATGGCTTGCATAAGCTGTAACGGGCAGGGCCCTCTGATTCTGACCTTAGAAAGGGTTCCTGTACTACTTCAAGGTGCCTTCTATCCGACTTGTGCCCATAGACTTTAATGGAAGTCGCCTCCAAGTCGGATCCTCATCTATATTGATGTGATTTGGACACAAGGCGCCTTCTATCCAACTTGTGCCCATAGACTTTAATGGAAGTCTCCTCCAAGCCGGATCCTCATCTATATTGCTGTGATTTGGACACAAGGTGCCTTCTATCCAACTTGTGCACATAGACTTTAATGGAAGTCTCCTCCAAGTCGGATCCTCATCTATATTGATGTGATTTGGACACAAGGCGCCTTCTTTCCAACTTGTGCACATAGACTTTAATGGAAGTCGCTTCCAAGTCGGATCCTCATCTATATTGATGTGATTTGGACATAAGGCGCCTTCTATCTGACTTGTGCACATAGACTTTAATGGAAGTCTCCTCCAAGTCGGATCCTCATCTATATTGATGTGATTTGGATCTGCCTTTACAGGAAGATTACCCAGGAATTCCCTAAAAGTTGTTTCAAACTAGTACTCAAGTCGCCTGGCAAAGTCGCACGACTTTCAGGTAGCAGTAGTGTGAACCAAGACTAAGGCTCAGTTCACACGGTTATGACTGGGGATCTGACTTGTGAGACCCCCCAAGTCACATGACATGTGAAATCCCATGTTGGTCAATGAGAGCTGTCCTAATTAGCACTACTGAAGTCGCTCCGACTTTAGAAAAGGTTCCTGTACTACTTCAAGGTGACTTCTATCTGGCTTTTGCCCATAGACTTTAATGGAAGTCTCCTCCAAGTCGGATCCTCATCTATATTGATGTGATTTGGATCCAATATTACAGCAAGATTAGCCAGGCATTCCCTAAAAGTCACTTCAAAAAGTAGTTCTCAAGTCGCCAGGGAGTCGCACTGTAAGTCGCACAATTTTCAGGTTGCAGCAGCGGAGTTCCAGCCGTTTTTGTGTTTATTAAAAGTCAGCAGCAACAAAAACTGTAGCTGCTGACTTGTAATAAACACCCACTTACCTGTCCCAGGGTCCAGCGATGTACTCACCTGTGCCGTCCCTTCTCTGCCTCTTCTCCCCGGTGCCGACATCTCAACTGTGGGCACCAGGCTGTGACAGCTTGCGGCTTCACAGCCGGGTGCCCACTGTACATGTGCGAGTCGTGCCGCACATCCTGATTGGTCCAGCAGTCTTCTGGCACCAGTGAAGGTTCCTAGGAGACCGCAGGAGGAAGGAGGGGCCGAACTGAGCCGGAAGTGGGAGCGGGTACCTGTCAAAATTAGTTACCCGCTCCCCCCCAAAAAAGTGCAAAATATGACAGTGGAGGGGGGAGGAGGCAAACAAGTGGAGTTTCCACTTTTGGGTGGAACTCCCCTTTGAGGGTCATTTACATTAGCAGATGGAGGCAGTAAAACCCTTTGGCTGAACAGTGCTTTTACCACCCCTCATCCGCTGCAGTGGCTGAGGGTGTACACATGCTTTGCAGCAGTGGCAGGAATTCCACCCTCTGCTGGTTTCAGCAGGCATAGCGCTCACTGAACGCAACCTATTCAAGTAAATAGGGCTGCTCTTCAAGTCCCCGCAACTGTGTGAAATGCACGCAGGCAGTGTTACAACGCCTACTCACTGCTCTGAAGAGCGATCCGACTGCGGATCATTCTTCAGAGGGCACCACTAATGTGAATGATCCCTTACAGGGTAAAGGTCTGCTTTAAGGAGCTGTCATGTTCATGACAAGAAGCTACAATGAGGTTGAACGGTGTATGGCCTTCATAGAGGCAGATCAGATCTTCATACATGGATATGTCAATCATTTTGTGACTTTTCCCTGTTCAGCATACTGGATGTGGGACTTCAGCGAGGACCACGGCTTTGTACTGGGAAATGGAAGTGGGAATTTCTAGACACTTGGCCCTTTCACTTTCATTTCTTGTGTAGGGGGTGTGGACCTTCCGCTCTAACCACCTTGTTTTTTCTTCATTCAGGGATATCATGTCCATTTACAAAGAACCTCCTCCGGGGATGTTTGTGGTTCCTGACCCACATGACATGACGAAGGTAAATTCCTCTCGATATCTTCTGGTTTCCAGCGGTGCAACTCCTGTTCAGACCGGTAAAACCGGAGTCGGCTCATCCTCCAAGGCAGGGGTCTCAAACTACGTCCCTCTAGGTGTTGAAGAACTGCAAGTCCCATGAGGCCTTGCAAGACTCTGACATCCACAGGCAAGATTCGCAGAGGCAGAGGCATGATGGGACTTGTAGTACTTCAACAGCTGGAGGGCCATAGTTTGGAGACCCCTGGACTATGTGTTAACTTAGAGGTAATCGATCTGCAAGATAACCAGAGATAGGTTCCAGGGGACGGGGTGGCCTGTGAATCTTTAACCCCTTGCTCTCCTGAGGATTTACCCCCCCCCCCCCTTCCTGACCAGGCCATTTTTTGCATTCCTTTAAGGCTTTAACTGACAATTGCGCGGTCGTGCACCCAAATTAAATTTACGTCCATTTTCCCACACAAATTCAGATTTCTTTCGGTGGGGGTATTTGATCGCTTCTGCGGGTTTTATTTTTTTTTTGCGCTATAAAAAAAATAGTCCAACAATTTTGAGAGAAAAAAATATTTTGGACTTTTTGCTATTAAACATGTCCAGTAAAAAAAAAATAAAATTTTGTCATAAATTTTGGCCAAAATGTATTCTGCGACATGTCTTTGCTAAAAAAAAAAATCCCAATACATGTAAATTAATTGGATTACGTGAAAGTTATAGCGTCTACAAATGGTGGTATATATACTGGGATTTTTTTTTTTAATACTAGTAATGGCAGCGATCAGCGACTTATAGCTGTACTGCGACAGACATTCTGACACTGGGGGGAACTGACTTGGTGTCACTGACATCCCCAGTGACACCAATACAATGATCAGTGCTAAAAAAAAGCACTGACACTGTACTAATGGCACTGAGCAGGAAAGGGTTAACATGTGGGCAGACAACAACCACTTTTTCAATACAAACCGCTGTTGCAACTGCTTTGAGTTTTAAAGTGTTACTAAACCCAGGAACCTGCATTCACTAAATCCGGTCTCCCACAGTACACAGAACATGGAAATGTAATTATTTTAGTAAATATAAACTGCTAAATCCCTTTTCTCATCAGCAGCTAGATCAGTGTTGTGACTTCTATCAGTGTTCAGCTGAGCACTGGTTAAAGCTTGTAGGAGGAGTTTTCATTCTGCTCTAGGAGAATGCAGAACCCCTGACCGCTGTGTAGACAGTGCTGATTGGTCCTGTGCTGATCACATGCACTCTCCCAAGCAAAAAATAATCTCTCTAGCAATACACACTAAACTGAGCATGTGCAGAGTGACTTTTCTATACAGTACACTCATCTTTAGTACCCTATTAGGTAAACGTGTGAATTGTGATTTTTGCCCAGTTACAATAAAAGGTATACAGCTGCATGGAAAGTCATTTACTATTAGCGTGCTGACTACAGAGAGCAGAGGGGCCTGCGGTTGTACGGCAATGTCGGCTTGGTTGAGATGTTGGCTGGAGAATTCTAGACTGTATGTACATTTAACCACTTCCAGTCCGGACACTGTATCCAAATGAATGTTTTTATTTTGGTGATATGTATTCACCACTGGGAGTTTTTTTTTTTTTGCTATATAAATGAAAAAGTCCAAACATTTTGGAAAAAAGTGTTTTTCTTATAACATTTTGCAAATAAATAATCTTTCTTCATAAATCTTGGCCAAAATGTATTCAGCTATCTTTTTAGTAAAAAAAAAACCCAGATTAGTTTATAACCAAAAATTATAATTTTTCTAAATTTATTTTATTTTTTTATATTATTATTTATGTTTTTTTTTTAACATACTGTCACCTTAGCAGTACTGTTTTACTTGTGGGGGGTGATGAAAATTTTTTTTTTACACTGATTGCTTTTACACTCATAAAGGCTGTAAAAGCAATAATTTCTCCTTCTCTCTGGCTGCATTCTTGCAGCCATTGAGAAATACTGTGTGAGCTGTGATTGGTCACAGCTTGTCACATGGTACAAGGCTGTTGTGAACAGCCTTGTACCATGTGATCTCTGTGATCATTCACAGATTTCAGTAGTAGTAAGCAATGATGTCAAGAAGTGACATCTTGCTTACTACTGTTCTTTTGATCACTGATTGGCCAATCAGTGATCACATGATCGGGACCTCGCACAGAGGTCCCGTCCGACGATCGGTGTTCCACTGTCTCCGGAGGACACAGCGGGCATCGGATCGCCGTGGTGAACTGACTAACTGCCACTGACATCCCAATGACACTAATACAGTGATCAGTGATAAATAGCCTTGTACCATGTGACCTCTGTGATCATTCACAGATTTCAGTAGTAGTAAGCAATGATGTCAAGAAGTGACATCTTGCTTACTACTGTTCCTTTGATCACTGATTGACCAATCAGTGATCACATGATTGGAACCTCACACAGAGGTCCCGTACAGCAATCCAGAGGACACAGCGGGCACCGGTAGAGCGCACAGGGAGTGAATGCGGGGGACATGTATAAACAGCCACCTGCTTTGGCACTGCTCCCATCCGGCCATTTATGTACATGGGCCAGATGGGAATTGGTTAAATATACGAAAAAAACGTGACTGATCGTCCCAAAAGATGATAAAACATAAAAATAAATGCAATTCTTCAAAAAAAATCCAAATAAGTGAAAAATCTTCTGGTTGGTAATTGCACCCAAAATCCCAGTGCTGTAAATGTTCAATACATGTGAATCACCACAGTGAGTTTTTCATGTTTCCACACATAACACATGTTTGCAGCAGCTCATCTATTATTATTCTCATGATTTGGTGGCACACGATTTTCTTTTGCCTTTATTATACACTGTATGTACATTGTCACATAGCAACCTTCTTGTTTTGCAGATCCATGCCCTCATAACAGGTCCATTTGACACACCGTATGAAGGAGGGTTCTTCTTATTCTTGTTCCGATGTCCTCCAGATTACCCGATTCATCCACCGCGAGTGAAGCTGATGACAACGGGCAACAACACTGTGAGATTTAACCCCAACTTTTACCGCAATGGCAAAGTCTGCCTTAGTATCCTTGGGTGAGCATCTTCGTCTCATTTACTTCAATGTCACTGTAAAGCTGATCTCCCAACATGATTGCCAATGAAATGGAAGAGCTGGGAGGGGGATGAGGCTGGAGATGCTAGTGACAGCTCTACCTGCTCCCGTCAGTTCTGATATCATTGCAATAGCGCCACCTGTGCAGCAGTACCAGGGGTCTCCAAACCAGCCTTTCTCAACCAGGGTGCCCAGGCACCCTGGGGTGCCTTGAGGTTTCTTCAGGGGTGCCTTGGCAAAATGTCTAAAAATTGCCCAAAACTTGTATACAAGTCAGCGGGTGGAACAAGCCTGCCTCTTAGTTACACAAAGCCACAGGTTTTCATTGTGCACCATTACAACCTTCTAACTGCCGGCTTCCTGACAGCCAATGACATCATCAGTTGATAAGGAGGATGTCAGCTGCCTGCACAGCATCCTAGTTTGATCTTCTCCTGCCCATCTCCATCAGTGCTGGGGTAACATTAGCTCAATGATGGAGAAAAACTGAGGGAGAGGAGAAACATTGGAGTACTAGTCAGTACCAGTGTGCAAAAGTGCATTTTCTTTGGAAGAATAAATCATCTCTAATTTTGGGCGTCCTACATGTGTGGATGTTGCTGTGTTATATAAAACGTTTCACATTTAGAATGGTTTGTCCTTTTAAAATTTATGGGGTGCCTCGGGACTGTCCATAATTTTAAAGGGTGCCTGGACTGAAAAAAAGGTTGAGAAACACTGTTTCAAACTATGCCTCTCCAGTTGCTTGGAGACCCCTGGATTAGGGGACTGGTCACACTGGGGTTTATTTACTAAGGCTGGTTCACTCAGAGTCTTGTGCACTTCTGCATGGAAACCAATCAGCTTCCAGGTTTTGTTGCCAAAGCGTAATTGAAGAAGCTGAAGTTAGAAGCTGATTGGCTACCATGCACAGCTGCACCAGATTGTGAGTGAACCAGCTCTACACTGCAGTCACATCGGGTGCGATTTGCATGCCATGCGACTTGCAAATCGTATGCCAAGTTGCGCCCTATTGTCCGCTAGTAGAGCAGTCATATTGGTGCGGTTCCGACTTGGTCAGAGCCGCACCGATTTCTAAAGAAGTGCATGCACTACTGTTGGTGCGATTTGAATGAATAGACATCTGTGTCAGATGTGTTGCAAATCGCAACTGAAATTGGCAGGTCACCCGATTTTGAAATTGTGCGATTTCACTGTACACGGGGCGCTTTGGAGAAATCTCCTGACCGCTGGAAACTGATTGCTAGAAAATGTAGGTTAAAAAACGTCAGTTTAGCCGCATTTATGCGCGTTTGCGTTTAGAAGCGTTTTTAAAAAATAACCTCGGGAGACCTTCCAAAATGCCCAGAATGCACTGAAAAACAGTAAAAAATTAACTATTTCAGACATTTTGAGAGGAATAGAGAGAGCAGAAGCAGAGAGAGTAGTATGTGTTGAGATGACCTGTCTCTCCTGGTTGTATTCACTATGGATCCCATCATGAGCATAATGCAGCACGTTCTACCATTGTTTCCTTTGAAACCTGGAACTGACTGCGCTGGTGTACCGGGTCCAGTTGAATACATGGAAAACGCTTTGCATGCATTTCTGATGATGAAAAAAGGCTCTGGACAGCATCTGGATATGGACTAGTCAAAAAACGCTTCTAAACACAAACGCGGTTAACCACGTTTACAAGCCTTTACACGCGTTTGGCACGCCGGTAAAATCTACTCCTGAATGCAATTTTGGTGCGTTCAAAAAAAGGACTGTAAACTCAACTACCTGTAAACGATGTGTACATGGATACATAGGAAAACATTAGGGAGAGTTCAGGGGCTGCTGAAAAAAACGCTCAACAGCTCCTGAACGTGATTTTTTCAGCTGCAGTGTACATGGAGCCCCAAGTCGCATGATTTCAAAATCAGCTTTGATGTGACCGGGGGCTTTGGATAGATTCACACCTATGCAGTTTGTGTTTTGACCAGTTTCTGCATTGCGATTTGCACCTGTGTTTTTGATGCGTTTTATTTTTTTCTTGTTACTAGGCAGATTCAAAACGCGGCAAAAACGCACTACATGCTTTTCTGCAGCGTTTCCATTGAAGTCTATAGAACCAAAAATGTAACTTTTGCGTTCAAAAAAGTCCCTGACCCTTTCCAAAAAACGCACCGGGTGAAAACACGGAGATGTGAATCTGTCCCAAAGGAAATTATATGAAATGGACTGCAAAATGCTGCGGAAAACGCTTAGGTGTGAACCTGGGGTTAGTAAAGAAACCCCACTGTGCTTGGAGAGGATGCAATGGTGAGCAGTCTTTACAAGTAGCCAGAATAAAGCCTAGGACTGCAGGACACGGCTACCGTTGTTTGACAAAGGACTACCAAACTATGGTATGACTAAGGCTAAGCATTTTTGCAGAAACGCACTACTGTCCATTTAACGTGATTTCCTATGGGACACGTTCACGTTGCCGCGTTTTCACCCAGCGCAATTTTTTTAAAGAGTCAGGGACTTTTTTTAAATATAAACCGTGCGTTTTTTGTGCATATTGCAATTTTAATCTGCCCAGCAACAAGTTGACCAACCAACCCCGCCCCCCCCCTCCCCCTCCCCCTCCCATAAAAACGCAAAGCCTATCTAAAAATGCAAAACAGATCAAACGCAAACTGCATAGGTGTGAACCTAGCCCAAAAGAGTTCCGTGCAGCATTATCATAATTAATTGTAAAAGGAGATACATTTTTTAAATTAATATCTTATGGTAATTATGAAGGCGGAAGGTTTTGTACTTTAATTCATTCTGTGCATTAACCCCTTCATGCTGGCGCCTCCCGGCCCTTTAAGGGGTTTCAGACGCCGGGAGGCGGGGTTTGAGGGTCACGCGACTGCCGTGATTTGCTGTCACGCGACTGCCGTGATTTGCTGTCACACGACTGCCGTGATTTGCTGTCACGGCGGTTGCATGATCGGAAAAAGTCCCGATCACAAGGGGAGATTGGGACCTTTCTTTGAGACGCCAACATATGTGCTGGGAGCGCACAGGGCGCGCGCTCTCAGCACATATGTGTTTTCAAATGGTACACAAATATGGGGCCGCTCAGCGTCAAGGCCCAGCTGCCGAGAGGCCGCATATTTGCCTACGGTCAGGGTCAAGGTAAAAAAAAAAAAAAGCTGTTGCTAGCTTCCTCCACCAGATACCCAGGCCCAATCTTGATCCAGCGCTGCTCTCTCTCTCCCCGCCTACACTAGACTCAGTGAGAGCTGTAAATCAAATCCAGTGGAGGAGGGTGGGGTTGAGCAACACTGTGTGTGTCAATGGACACACACAGTCTGACTCAGGATCGAACCTGCACGTGTGCCACCATAGGAAGCAGCTTCTTATAGAGGCACACAGAGAGGAGGAGGAGCCCAGAGCACTGGCAGGGGACCCCAGAAGAGGAGTATCAGGGCTGCCCTGTGCAAAACAATTGCACAGATTAGGTAAGTATAACATGCTTGTTATTAAAAATAAAGTGTTACTAAACCCTGGACCCTGCATTCACTATATCTGGTGTCCCCGGACCCTGCATTCACTATATCTGGTGTCCCCGGACCCTGCATTCACTATATCTGGTGTCCCCGGACCCTGCATTCACCTGGTGTCCCCGGACCCTGCATTCACTATATCTGGTGTCCCCGGACCCTGCATTCACTATATCTGGTGTCCCCGGACCCTGCATTCACTATATCTGGTGTCCCCGGACCCTGCATTCACTATACCCTGCATTCACTATATCCGGTCTCCCAGGACCCTGCATTCACTATATCTGGTCTCCCAGGACCCTGCATTCACTATATCTGGTGTCCCCGGACCCTGCATTCACTATATCTGGTCTCCCACAGTACACAGAACATGGAAATGCAATTATTTTAGTAAATATACACTGCTAAATATCTTTTCTCATCAACAGTATATGGCAGTCTTTCGACTTCTGTTAGTGTCCAGCAAGCACTGGTTAAAGCTTTTAGGAGCAGTTTTCATTCTACCCTGATTGTCCTATGAGGCTGCATAACCCCTGACCCTCTGGACAGTGCCGATTGGCCCTGTGCTGATCACATGCACCCTCCCAAAGAAATAAAAAAAAAAAACTCCAATACACACCAAACTGAGCATGTGCAGCTTCCCCCCCACGGCTCTCTTCTATCAGGAGATGGATTGGGGACAGTAGAAGAAGGGGAGGATCAGAGAAGACAGGATCAAACTGCCTTTTTACACAATGCAGAGGATTAACCCCCTAGGTTCCACAGGGAGTATATCAAGCATGGTAGACTGATTTTACTGTTGTGGGCTGAGTAACACTTTAACTTTACAATCACTTTAAATATATATTGCTGGAAGACTCAAGCGATAGCTTGCACATGTTGAATTTAAGTGCTAAACTACATGGGCAGTTTTACGTTTGTGCTACTATGCGATTTGACCATGGGCCCGACAGACACCCATTTGCTACGCTACAAGTGCTAAGGGTTACAATTGAGGTGTCTGGCAGCAAGGGGGTTAAAGCCTAAGTGTAGTCTAAATAAAAAGTACAAAAATCAGCACAAGGGACATAACTTACTATTAATGTGCTGTTTCTTTTGTGCTGATGGTTTCTGGTTTCCTTAAAAATTATTATTATTATTATACAGTATTTATATAGCGCCAAAGGGTTTGCTCAGCGCTGTACAGTAGCAGGGGGGACAGAACATGAGACAAGACAGTAACAGTACAATACACGAGGGGTTCGAGGGCCCTGCTCTTTTGAGCTTACAATCTAGGAGGGAGGGGAAGGTGGTACAGGAGGAGATGGCTGTGGGGGATGGAGTGGTGGGAGGAGTGGAGGAGGTTGTTAGGTGAAGTCAGGTGTTAGGTGAGGTTGGGGTAGTCTTCCCTGAAGAGGAGGGTTTTCAGGGTGCGCCTGAAGGTGAGGGGGGTAGGCGACAGTCTGATGGATTGGGGTAGGGAGTTCCAGAGGATGGGGGAAGTCCTAGAGAAGTCCTGCAATCGGGCGTGGGAGGAGGAGACCAGGGAGCTAGAGAGTAGGAGGTCCTGTGAGGAGCGGAGGGCACGGGTAGGGTAGTATTTGGGTATCAGGTCAGTTATGTAGTTTGGGGCGGCATTGTGAACGGCTTTGTAGGTGAGAGTTAGCAGTTTGAATTTGATGCGTTGGGCAACCGGGAGCCAATGAAAGGATTGGCAGAGGGGGGAGGCGGATGTGGAGTGGTTGGTGAGGTGTCCTACATTGTTTAACCCCCCCCCACCTCCTCACTGTGGCAGAAGTCTACGGCGGCAGGGTTAATGGAACTGAGGGAGCTGTCATTTGTACCCCTCAAGAGTGTCCGACTATGCCCGTCCTTTCCACCCAGCTCCTTCAGTCATAGAGACCATACTACCGCTTCCAAGAATGAAAGATGATCTATGAATGGAGGGGGTAGACCTGTCAATCGTCTGCCCATCTTCCATTCATAGATTGTGTTTCATTCATAGACGCTGCATGCCCGGCTTCTATGAATGGAGGAGCTGGGCGAACAGGGTGAGTATAGTCGGACACACTTGAATACAAATGACAGTTCCCATGGTTCTGCTAACTCCTGTCTACACCATAGGATTACAGCGGTGGGGGTTGGGGGGATTGATGGAGGAACATTTCAAGGAAATCAGGAGCCAGCAGCACAAGGGACACAGCACATCAATAGTAAGCTATGTCCCTTGTGCTGATTTTTGTGTTTTGTTATTTTGATTACATTTAGGCTTTAAACTGTTTGGTAGCATGAGATTAAATTCACCCATGTAGTTTAGTTTTCATGTTTCTGCTTAAGCCCTGGTTCACATATGTGCGTTCCTGCGGTCCGTGCTTTGCGTGGGCACGAGAGCCTATTCATTTGAATGGACTCCCGTGCCCTGGGACACACAGGAAAGAAGTCCCTGCACTTCTTCTGAAAACGCAGCCCGCACGGGAACCTCAGTTCCCAGTACGGTTGCGTTTTCCGGTGTGGGCGGCATGCCATTAAAACTGACACCCGCCCCCGGATCCGCATTTCTCTGTACGGGTGGTGCGGCTGCACGGGTTTTCATGCGGATCCGCAGAGGCACCACCCGCATAGATGTGAACCTAGCCTTACTGTCGGGTCACTGCCAGGCATAGGAGAAGCCATATAATTAGTAATAGTGTAAACCCCACAGGCTTCACTATGCATATGTAGCACAATTCTCAATTATTAACATCCTTCAGACCTGAGGGCCCATTCACCATCACTGCCCGGCGGTAATGCTTGGTAACACATGTGACGCCTGTTGATTCTTTTTGAATGTCACCTCAACATACTGTAACGCACCACCATGTGCTGCAAAAACAAAAATGCTCCAGGTACCATTGAAGGTCCATTGTGGTGTGTGTAGCACCCCATTCAGTATGTGTTCAGGTAAAAGCACTGCATCAGACCTGACTGGCGTGATGGCCCTGACCACGTCTGTCAAAAGACTTCTTTAGGAGCTTGGCATCAAGTTGACTTTTGTGGTCTCTCCTATGGAACTGGTATCAGATTGGCTGGTGACAGGTGCTAGTATCCTGCATTCTGCTGTTCTCAACTTAATATGAGCACACTATCCCTTGACTTTGCTTTCCCAAGTCTAGAGCTGTGACATGGGGAAAGCAAAGTCAAGCGATCGTGTGCTCATATCAGGTTCAGAACAGCAGAACGCAGGATACTAGCATCTGCCACCAGGATGACTGCAGGGCTCCTTGACAGAGTCAAGTAATGAGAAGAGTATCAGAGGAGCCCGGGGGCCAGGAGAGCTGATATTTAAATACTTGTACTTTAGACTTGCTGACAGCTGCACTCTAGGAGTGTATATTATAGCAGGGCTACTGGTGAATATACACTATATTGCCAAAAGTATTGGTCGGCCGGCCTTTACACGCACATGAACTTTAATGGCATCCCAGTCTTAGTCCGTAGGGTTCAATATTGGGTTGGCCCCGCCCTTTGCAGCTATAACAGCTTCAACTCTTCTGGGAAGGCCGTCCACAAGGTTTAGGAGTGTGTCTATGGGAAGGTTTGACCATTCTTCCAGAAGTGCATTTGTGAGGTCAGGCACTGATGTCGGACAAGAAGGCCTGGCTCACAGTCTCCCCTCTAATTCATCCCAAAGGTGTTCTATCGGGTTGAGGTCAGGACTCTGTGGAGGCCAGTCAAGTTCCTCCACCCCAAACTCTCTCATGCATGTCTTTATGGACCTTGCTTTGTGCACTGGTGTGCAGTCATGTTGGAACAGGAAGGGGCCATCCACAAACTGTTCCCACAAAGTTGGGAGCATGAAATTGTCCAAAATCTCTTGGTATGCTGATGCCTTAAGAGTTCCCTTCACTGGAACTAAGGGGCCAAGCCCAACCCCAGAAAAACAACCCCACATCATAATCCCCCTCTCCACCAAACTTTACACTTGGCACAATGCAGGCAGGCAAGTACCGTTCTCCTGGCAAATGCCAAACCCAGACATGTCCATTGGATTGTCAGAGAAGTGTGATTGGTCACTCCAGAGAACACGTCTCCACTGCTCTAGAGTCCAGTGGCGGTGTGCTTTACACCACTGCATCCGTAGCTTTGCATTGCACTTTTTGATGGAAGGCTTGGATGCAGCTGCTCGGCCATGGAAACCCATTCCATGAAGCTCTCTATGCACTGTTGTTGGGCTAATCTGAAGGCCACACCAAGCTTGGAGTTCTTTAGCTATTGACTCTGCAGACAGTTGGGGACTTCTGCGATTCAGCATGCGCTGACCCTTCTCTATCATTTTACATGGCTACCACTTTGTGGCTGAGTTGCTGTTGTTCCCAGTTGCTTCCACTTTGTTATAATACCACTAACAGGTGACTGCGGAATATTTAGTAACAAGGAAATGTCACGGATGGACTTATTACACAGGCGACAACCTATCACGGTACCACGCTTGAATTCACTGAGCTCCTGAGAGCGACCCATTCTTTCACAAATGTTTGTAGAAGCAATCTGCATGCCTAGGGGCTTGATTTTATACACCTGTGGCCATGGAGCTGATTGGAACACCTGAATCACATGGTAAAATATGAAAGTGCAGCGCTAACTTAAACAATGATTACACATATGATAGATCCCATATGAATGTGGATCGGCAAAATGACGGCGTAAGTTCATCAGATGTGCTAAAAATACGTATACAGTCTCCAACGTACTCAGTGACTGGGAGCCAGAAATGTAGTAAATTTCAGAAGTGGAAAAAGGTCATCTCAAATAGTGTGATAACGTTTATTAAAGGGGCCCCTCTGATGATGTGTACTTACACGATACGCGTTAGGGAAGTGCCAAGCTATGTTTATCTTCTGTACATGTACCTCCGGTCTGGCCGTTTATAAGCAGCTGAACCTTTGCTAGTAAGTTCTTTTTTGATTGTTCATTTTAATAAACGTTATCACACTATTTGAGGCCTTTTTCCACGGGCTCTTTATTTCTGGGGAGCCTGAATCCAGAAGGTCCTGGGACTGTGCCTAACAAGAACACATCTGCAGTGACATCCCTGGATCCGTGATACAGCTTCTCCTGGAACCGATGACATCTAGTGGTCACCCTATAGATGACACCCACCTGATCCATTAACACAGTGGCTGGATACAGCTTCCATCCGGACAGATGACATCTAGTGGTCACCCTATAGATGACACCTCCTTGCTCCAGTGATACAGTGGCTGAGTACCAGGGACAGGTCTTAAATGTCCCATGCGCTTTAACATGCGCTATCTGGTTAGTGCATTACTTGGCTATTCTTTATCATTTCTGAAATTTACTATTTCTGGCTCCTCACGCGTTGGAGACTGTATACGTATTTAGCACATCTGATGAACTTACGCCGTCATTTTGCCGATCCACATTCATATGGGATCTATCATATGTGTAATCATTGTTTAAGTTAGCGCTGCACTTTCATATTTTACCATTTACTCTGGAGGTTCACGAGGTGCCTTTTTGTGCCAGCAGCTACCCTATCTACATCCACACACTGCGCTCGATTTTATATATATTTTATATATATATTTTATATATAAGTTTATTTTACCTGAATCACATGATTTGGAGGGATGTCCCAATACTTTTAGCAATATAGTGTATTTATCCTTCCCTTTGCTTATAAATTAATGTCTTGATTACGTTTTTTTATTTCATGAACTTTGAACTGGATATGTACCGAGCAGCTCATAGAGAACAATTAACCTGAGACTTTTATAGAACTGAGATTCACAGTAGTTTGAGTTGCAGGAGATTGATCGCTGTTTTTTTTTTTTTTTTTTTTTTTTTTTTTTTTTTTCTTCCAACGCCAGTACATGGACAGGACCTGCATGGAGTCCAGCTCAGAGCCTGTCCTCCGTACTCATCTCTATCCAGTCCCTGATGACAGAGAATCCTTATCACAATGAACCTGGCTTCGAACAGGTATTAGTGTTGTCCTCTCACACCTGAATATAGTCCTTTTTTTGTGATGGTATGTGATGCTCACTTCTATGGTCTTCCTCAGGAGAGACACTCAGGAGACAGCAAGAACTACAATGAGTGCATTCGTCATGAGACCATCAGAGTGGCAGTATGTGACATGCTGGAGGGCAAGTGCCAGTGTCCAGAGGCCTTACGGTAAGTCAGATGTTGTAAACCAACTTTTTTTTCCCTGGCCTGGTAGAGGAAATGTATTTTATGCCCTTTGCTGCTGTTTACTTTCCCTACCGTCCCCGTTTGTCCCTTTGCTGGAGCCTTATGAAATGCAAAATTTCACACGGGGCGGACTTTGTTTTGATCAGTAGGGAATATGTCCGCTGATTGGAGCAGAGCGGGCAGATGACAGGTCCGTGTCTGCTCAGTTTCTGCAGTGCGGACTTTCACACGGGGCGGACTTTGTTTTGATCAGTAGGGAATATGTCCGCTGATTGGAGCAGAGCAGGCAGATGACAGGTCCGTGTCTGCTCAGTTTCTGCAGTGCGGACACGGACAGAGCCCGCTGTGGTTTATGGGCAGCAACAAGTAAACAGACCCAACTGCCCTCCAATCTGATCTGCCTAGAAGGAGGGGGGCAAATACCTTTTTGTTTCATGTTTTTTGGGGGTTTTTTCTATGGGTTTTTTTTTTTTTTTTTTTTTTTTTTTTAGGCAAACCGGATCCTGCTGGTCTATTAGAGTGAATGGAGGGTCCACTCAGGTCTGCCTGAAAAACTGACAGACGGACCTGATTGGACCCTCCATGTGAAAGAAGCCTAAGTATGGGGGAGCATGTATCTCACTTCCTTCCTTTCACTTTTCATCTCTGTGCCTTGATGGACAGTAGCCAGATTTTAGTTCTTTCATGAGGAGAGGGCCCTTAGACTGTGGGATGAACAAGAGAAAACAGTTGTTTCCCCACGTACACGAATAGTGTATATGGAGGAATCTCCACTGCTGCCTATGATACCCAAACAGTAACTGCATCTAATAGAATTAGTAGTCCACAGAAATGAAAATTCTGGCGCTGAAACTGAAACTTCAGGATGCACTTGGCCAAAAACCGAAACCGGTTGTTTACAAGTAGTCGGAGCCGGAAGTGATGTAATGATGTCACTCTAGCCCTCCAAGGGCATAGAGATGAGTGGTGGCCATATTTCCTTCACTGATCTCTATGCCCATTGCTGGGATCATTGGATGGGTTCTCAGGTAAGGCTGAGAACCACCAGGCAGCGGCAGTGAGGAGCGGCGTGGGAGGGGTTATTTTTGGCACCTGTATTGGCACCTATTTTCATATCGGTCAAAGGCTGATAGGGGAATTTTCAGCCGAAACTTCAGTGCATGCCTAGATAGAATGCAGTTGCTGTTCAGCTCAAATTTTTCCATCTGGCAATTTTTAGATCAACTTTTGTTGAGCCGAGTAGTGTTTGCAGGACCACGCACTGTATGAATTTCTGCAGAATCCTGTGAAATCATACACAATTTGAGCTGTCTAATGCCAGCTTTTATAGTATTTGGGTTTTCCTGCTAATAACAACCAGATTGGGACAGATTCCTACAGACCGAATCAAACTTAAACGTGCAGTGCATGCACCAAGGTGCTTCTATCCTAAGGGCCCATTCCCATCTCTCAGGTCTTATGGGGTTCATTAACCTCTTCCCAACCATGCTGTAGCCGAAAGACCGCTACAGTGCGTTTGTCCAGTTCTGGGAGGGCGTCCTATGACGTCCTCCCAGAATGCACCCTCTCGCATGCCCCCAACGGTGCGCATCCAGCGCTCTCCATGATAGCTGTGTCCTACGGACACTCAGCTGATCACATGAGGATGTAAAAGGCCAATCACAGCGGCCTTTTCTCACGTGATCAGCTGTGTCCAATGACACCGCAGATCACCAAGTAAATACAGTTGCCGGTTATCATCTGCGTTTTCCTCACACTGTCACAGCGTGAGGAAAGTATTGCCGATAACCAGAAAATGTCAGAGGACATCTGCACTGATGACCAGTGCCCGGCAGTGCCACCCACCAGTGCCGTCAGTCACTGTTGTCAGTCAGTGCCACTAGTCAGCGCCGCCCATTAGTGCCACTGCATATTAGTGCAGCATCATCCGTGCCTCCTCCTCAGTGACCATCAGTGCTGCCTATTTGTGCCACCTCATCAGTGCAGCCTCATCAACGCACTTCAGTGAAGGAGAAAAATTACCTGTTTGCAAAATGTTATAATAGAAACAAAGAAAAACGTTTTTTTTTTTCTAATTTTTTGCTCTTTTTTTTTTTGTTTATAGCGCAAAAAATAAAACACCCAGTGGTGATTAAATACCACCAAAAACAAAACTATATTTGTGTGAAAAAAAAGTATAAAAATTTCATATGGGTACAGTGTTGCATGACCGCGCAATTGTCATTCAAACTGCGACAGTGCTGAAAGCTGAAAATTGGCCTGGACAGGAAGGGGGTAAAAGTGCCCGGGAGGCAAGTGGTTAAACAGGAGCTTCAGTATTCCCCATAAAAATTACAAATACTGTAGCTGCTGACTTTTAATGTAAGGTCACTCCCCCATCCAGGGATCCAGCATCATCCTCACCCAAGCCGGTTCTTCACTGGTCTTCAGATCTCTGGAACTGGCAGGGAAACCCGCTGTGAAGTGGCTTCACGCTGCGCATGCGTGAACTGCACTCTGCATTGTGAATTTCTGGGACCTGTGACATATCCCAGAAGGTTGCAGGAAAGGCAGTGGGGGTGGGGGGAGAGATCTTCAAGTGGATCTCCGGAAGTGTGAGTGAGCACCTATCAAAACCAGGCCGTACCCTCCCCCCCCCCCCCCCCCCCCCCCCCCCCCCCCCCCCCCCCCCCCCCCCCAAAAAAAAAGTTTCCAAAGTGGGAGAGGAGGTGGAAAATCAGAACTTCTCCTTTTGGGTAAGTTCCACTTTAACCACTTGGCAACTGCGCTATAGCCGAATGACGGCTACAGCCAGTCCTGGGAGGGCGTCATATGACGTCCTATCAGAACGCACCCTCCTGTGTGTCCCCAGCGGCGTGCACCTGTCGATCTCAGCTGATCACGTGATGTGGTAAAGGGCCAATCATAGCGGCCTATTACCATGTGATCAGCTGTGTCTAATGTCACAGCAGATCACCGGGTAAATACAGTTGCCGGTTATCGACTGCACGTTCCTCACGCTGTCACAATGGGACTTGTGGTTTGGCAACAGCTGGAGGTCCGCCAGTTTGACACCTGTGACCTAGTGTAACCCCTGAAACCCCGCACTAGTGCAACAGGGCACCCCCATTCAGCTGACTGGGTCCTGTTCAGCAAGCAGTACTGTGTGGATAATTGATGTACTCCACTCTTCGCTGCAGCATAAGGGGGAGCATTTGAGGGAGGTAAAAACACAGCTCAGCCATGCAGATCGTGGATGCAGTGCCAGGATTCTGCAGACTCTTGAGGGAGATATGGGTAGACAGTTGCTGCAGTCCAGGAAGAATCAATGAACTATGAGAGCGCTCACCCGCGTCCTCTCACAGTTCATTGTGAACTAGAATTCGTCTGCCACGTAGTAGATGGTACTTGTAGTTCATTCATTCACATATCTCTGTGAATGAATGATGTGGCTGTATGGGTGGAGCTGCGCTGTTTTTAAAATGTGACCGTGGGTGCAGGGAGAGGATCCCCCGCCTGCTGTCACAATGAGCGATTTTGGGGGGGGAGGTGTCAGGTGTATCATTGTAACGTGTTACAAAGGTGAACACTACATGCGTTTCAGTTGATTTTTTTTCTGCATCTGAAATGCACAGAAAGTAGGTTATATGGTTGTCAATGTCATAGTTCACTCAGTGTTTGCAGTTCCAGTTGCAGAAAAAAAAAACAGGCTGCATTTTTCCTGCACAGGACTGTACTGGACCGTGGTAAAACGCACCAAAAACGCACATGTCATTATTTAAATTGAAGAAAAAAGAGGTGGGTGAAAATGAACTGGAATGCATAAACAAACGCACATGTGGAAATGTGTCCGGAACGCATGTGGACTGCGTTTCTATAGTGTGAACTGGCCCTTAATGGATTTCAGTGTGCTCTTCCCTCTGTGTGTCTGCCTTTCCTGATTGCACTGCTTAGACCCTCCAGGCTGGCTGCAATTCTTTGCATTTGGCATACTCCATCCATCTCCGATTCTCCCCATTTCCAAACAAGTCACTGCTTCTCCCCTTACACCCCGGTCACATTGGGTGCGGCTTGGTATGTGACTTGCAAATCCTATGCCAAGTCGCACCCAATTGTCCGCAATTACATCAGTCATATCTGCGGTTCTGACTTGGTCGGAGCCGCAGAGATTTCTAAAGTAGTACATGCGCTGCTGTTGGTGCGATTTACATAGACATCTGTGTCAGATGTCTTGCAAATCGCACCTGAAATCGGTATCTCACTTGACTTTGAAATCGTGCGACTTACAGTGAATTCACACGATTTCAAAGTCGGGCTTGATGTGGCTGGGGTGTTGGTCCGATCCGAAGATAGAACATGACAAACATGGCCTTGCCATTGGCATTCATTTACTCATTTGGTAACCACCTCTATGTTTCTTGCAGGACCGTTATGGAGAAATCGTTTTTTGGAATATTACGATTTTTATGAAGCAGTTTGCAAAGACAGATTTCATCTACAAGGACAGAGCATGCAGGTAATGATTATTTCATGGGGGAGGGATTGGATCTACCCCCCATGTGTTACTATTTGTCGTCATTTCAGTTGCAGGGGTGTGGAAAGTTTTGAAAAAAACTACTTGTCCAGGGACTAAATTGGTGTCCCAATCTACTTGTCCCTCACAACAATCTAAAAAAAAACATCAATTTTAACCAAAACCGGATTTAAATCTTCTTTAAGTAATGTTCGGGGCTTTGGAAAAGCAAAAGGGGCTTTATGGCGACTTAAACATTTAATATTCATAACATTGCGCTGTTTATCTCCTCCTCCCTTCCCTGCCTGTCTCCAGCACCGTACCCGGGGACTAGCAGGGAGGGGGGAAACCTTGCAGTGTAGTGAGCACCGATTGGCTGCTCGTCAGGGAAGGGGAATATCCGGCTTATCCTTTATCCCTTTCGCTGCCAGAGCCGTTTTTGCATTTTTTGCACATGTTTAAAAAAATCGTTTTAGGCCTGAAAATTACACACCACCACCAAACATGATATAATTTCTGAAAGCAGAGGTCCTACAGAATAAAATAGCGGTAGTTCCAATTTTTTATGTCACATGACATTATCACAAAGGTCTAGGAAACACAAAATTTCAGTAAAAAATACACTTAGGTTAATTTTTAGGGCACAAAAAGCAATAAATTATCCAATTTTGTTGTAAAATTTGAAGAGGAGGTTGCAGTGAGTAAATAGATATCGAACATGTCAAACCTTAAATCTGTGTGTGCTCATGAAACGGCAACAAACCTTTGTACCCTATATTTTCTATAGGCTACACTATTTTAAAGCCCTTTATAGGTCATCAGTATAGTGTACGGAGGAGGTCTGGTGCTAGAATTATTTCTCTCACTCTGGCGTGCGCAGCGATATGTATTGTGTATCACAATCCACGTTTTCATGTGTAGGCGCCCCGAGTATGTGCTTTTACGTTTGTGCATGCGTACATATGTGGGAGTAGGGGGGGGCCTTGAAACATTTAGGGGTGTTATATGCTTGGGTGTAACTTCCATTTAAAATAAATAACTTTTTTTTAAATCACATACGGGACAAAAAGTCCCCTATGTGATGATTTTTGGTGACAGGTTCTCTTTTTTGAGACTTTTTAGACCCTGCATGTCTCCCATGTACTACACTGATTGTAATGCAGTGCACATCGCACTGCATTACATTCTTTCCCGGCCTCAATGACCGGGAATCTGTCAAACGGGGACCTGGAAGTGACGGCACATCACTTCCGGATCAGGAGAAGAAGGGAAGGGGAGTGGATGCGTCCGCTCTCCTACTCCCTCCCCTATATCACATCCTGCGGCACCCACTGAACCAGTCTCGGGCCCGCAGATGGGCAAGCGAAGCCTAGGACATATAGCGGGGGGAGAGGCTACCCACTGAACCAGTCTCGGGCCCGCAGATGGGCAAGCGAAGTCTAGCGGGCTAACCCCTGAAACCAGTCTCGGGCCCGCAGATGGGCAAGCGAAGCCTAGGACATATAGCGGGGGAGAGGCTGACACTGGGCTGTCTGGAAGCAATCGGGCAGCAGCGCTGCTGCCTGAATGCTTCCACCTGACAGGTGAGCCCTGTTGCAAAAAAAAAAAACGACCTGCCCAGAACTACATGTCCCGAGCGTCGGGTGGACATCCCTGAGTTGCATTATGAAGGGACAATCTGATGCCTGTCCGACCAAAATCTACTAATAGGAGCTACAGTGGATCTTTACCACCATGCTACGGTCCTCAGGCCCAGACTTGGCACACAGACCTCCTGATCTGCAGATTTGTGCTAGGACAGTTTCAAAGCATTGATGTCAAGGGTTCCCTTTCAAGATCCGTGAACACTGTAAGTTCTATATGTGGGTGGATTTCCTGCATCTTCACTGATCCTGTTACTTCAGCTGTTAGACCGCATACTTCACCAAGTGAATCCATGGGACAATGATATTTCATGGGAAAAATGTGGAGACAGAATGCGGGGAAATTTTGATAAGCCTTGCAGGAAGCACTATCCAACCTGTGTGTGACTTCAGAGTTGCCATAGGACTGTAACAGCTGCCCACTGATGTCATGTTGGGGAAATTATATCCGTACATCGGCTTCTTCTGCATTACTTCCAGAACTGCTGAGCCAGGTTTAACTTGCATAGAGAAAATGTAATCTGATTGCTAAAGGTAAAACTACCCTTTAGCTGCCCATGGGTTGCAGCAAAGAAAATTGCGTGATTTCCCCATCAACACAGTCAGTGTTAATGGGGGGTCCCTTCTACAGCACTATTGTGTTCTGCTTTTTAGAACCCTTCCCTGCTGGCAGAACATAATGATCATTGCTGCTGGCTACAGCCACAGGCAGTGATCACATGGAAAGAATTGATGTCAGGATTGCTTATGGTCCCTGCTAAACCTGCCAGCCTGTCCATAGATGGATCAAATATCAGCCAGTCTCTGCTGAACCTGCCAGCCTGTCCATAGATGGATCAAATCTCAGCCGGTCCCTGCTGAACCTGCCAGCCTGTCCATAGATGGATCAAAGTTCAGGCGGTCCCTGCTGAACCTGCCAGCCTGTCCGTAGATGGATCAAATCTCGGCTGGTCTCTGCTGAACCTGCCAGCCTGTCCATAGATGGATCAAAGTTCAGGCGGTCCCTGCTGAACCTGCCAGCCTGTCCGTAGATGGATCAAATCTCCGCTGGTCCCTGCTGAACCTGCCAGCCTGCCCATACATGGATCAAATATTGGCTGATCCCTGCTGAACCTGCCAGTCTGTCCATAGATGGATCAAATTTCAGCCGGTCCCTGCTGAACCTGCCAGCCTGCCCGTAGATGGATCAAATCTCGGCTGGTCCCTGCTGAACCTGCCAGCCTGCCCATACATGGATCAAATCTTGGCTGGTCCCTGCTGAACCTGCCAGCCTGCCCGTAGATGGATCAAATCTCAGCCAGTCCCTGCTGAACCTGCCAGCCCTGCCCGTAGATGGATCAAATCTCAGCCAGTCCCTGCTGAACCTGCCAGCCTGCCCGTAGATGGATTAAATCTCAGGCTGGTCCCTGCTGAACCTGCCAGCCTGCCCTTAGATGGATCAAATCTCAGCCCAGTCCCTGCTGAACCTGCCATCCGTAGATAGATCAAATCTTGGCTGGTCCCTGCTGAACCTGCCAGCCTGCCCATACATGGATCAAATCTTGGCTGGTCCCTGCTGAACCTGCCAGCTTGCCCATACATGGATCAAATCTTGGCTGGTCCCTGCTGAACCTGCCAGCCTGCCCATAGATGGATCAAATCTTGGCTGGTCCCTGCTGAACCTGCCAGCCTGCCCGTAGATGGATCAAATCTCAGCCAGTCCCTGCTGAACCTGCCAGCCTGCCCGTAGATGGATCAAATCTCAGCCAGTCCCTGCTGAACCTGCCAGCCTGCCCGTAGATGGATTAAATCTCAGCCAGTCCCTGCTGAACCTGCCAGCCTGCCCGTAGATGGATCAAATCTCAGCCAGTCCCTGCTGAACCTGCCAGCCTGCCCGTAGATGGATCAAATCTTGATCGGTCCGTGCTGAACCTGCCAGCCTGCCCATACATGGATCAAATCTTGGCTGGTCCCTGCTGAACCTGCCAGCCTGCCCGTAGATGGATCAAATCTCAGCCAGTCCCTGCTGAACCTGCCAGCCTGCCCGTAGATGGATCAAATCTCAGCCAGTCCCTGCTGAACCTGCCAGCCTGCCCGTAGATGGATTAAATCTCAGCCAGTCCCTGCTGAACCTGCCAGCCTGCCCGTAGATGGATCAAATCTCAGCCAGTCCCTGCTGAACCTGCCAGCCTGCCCGTAGATGGATCAAATCTTGGCTGGTCCCTGCTGAACCTGCCAGCCTGCCCATACATGGATCAAATCTTGGCTGGTCCCTGCTGAACCTGCCAGCCTGCCCGTAGATGGATCAAATCTCAGCCAGTCCCTGCTGAACCTGCCAGCCTGCCCGTAGATGGATCAAATCTCAGCCAGTCCCTGCTGAACCTGCCAGCCTGTCCGTAGATGGATCAAATCTTGGCTGGTCCCTGCTGAACCTGCCAGCCTGCCCATACATGGATCAAATCTTGGCTGGTCCCTGCTGAACCTGCCAGCCTGCCCGTAGATGGATCAAATCTCAGCCAGTCCCTGCTGAACCTGCCAGCCTGCCCGTAGATGGATCAAATCTCAGCCAGTCCCTGCTGAACCTGCCAGCCTGCCCGTAGATGGATTAAATCTCAGCCAGTCCCTGCTGAACCTGCCAGCCTGTCCGTAGATGGATCAAATCTTGATCGGTCCGTGCTGAACCTGCCAGCCTGTCCGTAGATGGATCAAATCTTGATCGGTCCCGTGCTGAACCTGCCAGCCTGTCCGTAGATGGATCAAATCTTGATCGGTCCGTACCTTACCTGCTTGATTTAGACCTTAAATCTAATCATAGATTTTGCTTTACAACTATGCATGTTTAGTAGTGTTGCACCGAAATAAAAATTGCAGTCCTGAAACCAAAAATTCAGGATGCACTTGGCTGAAAACCGAAACAGACAATTTTTTCTTTTTTTTTTTATTCTTTAATTAGTGTGGTTGGTGTTTTTGCATTGAATGACCTGGGGGGTAGGGGGGCATTTTTGTATTGAAATCAAAGGGACGTGATTTTGCATTGAAGTCCATAGAATGCATGCCATTATGGGCACCTTTTTTTTTTCCCTACCAGCAAAGCTCTGATAGCCCTATTTTCAGCTGATTATTTTTGGCTGCCGATATATCAGTGCATCCCTTGTTTAGCCTGTGTAGAAATGTTCAGGTTCTGGCCTTTCTTAGGAGACATGACAGTAGAGATCGGCAGAGCATACAGATATCTATTAAACCGTAACCAGTCAGATATGGTGAACTTTCTATATTGTCTGCAGGCGCCTGGTAACATTTGCATTTTCCAGCGCTGTCATCTGGTGATGGCTAAACAGAGCTTGAGTTTGCAGCCAGTTCCTGCTGAATCAACTGAAATGCAAGATTTGGGTAATTCCACATCTGTCACAAGTTTTAAAATCAAAGAAGCCGGGTGGAAAGTTGCCAACCAAACAGGGACTGCATTCTATCATGTGCAGTCACTGGTTGGGTATTCAGGCAGCCATAGGTGCTGTGGCTGTCTGAATGATGATGATGATGCTGTGACTGAATACACTATCGGGGAGTGGAGATTGCTTCATCCCCCTGATTAGCATGTGAAAGTCGACTGATTTCTCTTGTTCTGACCTTAGGGACGAACAAAAGAAAAGCTAAGCGTGCTTGGCATGCTGCTTAGATCTTAGTCTCAAACATGGACTAAGTATAGTGCTGGGATACCTGCTATGTATAGAATTGTTCTGGGGCTTTTGGCTGATTAATGAAGCAAAGAAAGAAAAAAGTAACAGATCTGGAGCTGGACTCTCTGTAATGCCTGCGCTTTAAGCGCAAAATCACGTGTGTGTGTGTGTAGTATATATATATATATATATATATATAGTGTGATTTTGCCGTTTTGGGTAGGGGACGTGCACCCTACCTGCACTGCCATTCGCGGCCACAGCTGTCAATCACAGGGTTCCGGCAGGTGACTACTTGCCAGCACCCCGGTGATCGCCGAGTATCTCCGACGGGCGAGAGACCTGTATGTAAACAATACAGATCTCTCCCCGTCAGGTTCTGCATACTGCTTTGTATGGCTCTGCATAGCAGAGCCTTACAAAGCAGTGTGCTTACAGTGGAAAGCACGCACACAGTTAACCTTTGATTTCCCCAGATGTTAACCCCTTTATACCCAGTGTCATTAGTACAGTGTCAGTGCTTTTTATTAGCACTGATCACTATTGGTGTCACTGGGGATGTCAGTGACACCAAGTCTGTTCCTCCCAGTGTCAGAATGCCTGCGACAGTCCTGCTATAAGTCACGGATTGCTGCCATTACTAGTAGAAAAAAAAAAAGATCCCAGTACCTATACCGCCATTTGTAAACGCTATAACTTTCACATAAACCAATTAATTTACACTTATTGGGATTTCTTTCAGCAAAGACATGTAGCAGAATACATTTGGCCTAAATTTATGATGAAATTTGATTTTTACATTTTTTTTTTATTGGACATGTTTCATAGCAAAAAGTTTTTTTTTCTCAAAATTCAGTATTTTTTTTGCTTATAGTGCAAAAAAATAAAAATGCACAGGTGATCAAATACCATTTGTGGGAAAAAAAGGATGTAAATTTCATTTGGGTGCAGCGTTGCATGAAAGTGCAATTGTCAGTTAAAGGAACGCAACACCGTATCGCAAAAAATGGCCTGGTCATGAAGGGGGGTAAATCCTCTGGAGGGCAAGTGGTTAAAGACTGTGGCAGATGATAAAAGCGTAAAAGTGTGAAAATAAAAAGTAATAAAAACAAAACAAAAAAACTGAATATTTTTTTTTTTCTTTTAAAAGACAAAACTGTCATTTCTGATCTCTTTTTTTAAAATCGGAGTTACCTGGCTGTTAGCTGACGCTAAATAACCATTATGCCTTCCCTAGCTGTATCTGTTCCATCTACTCAGACTTGACACAACATGGCAGCCAGGCAATTGGCTTTTCCAATAGTAGACTAGCAGCCGGCATATTTCTTGAATTAGGCCCATGTGTTGTGGTAAGTGCATGTTTGACATGAGTTGTTTTTTTGGTTTTAGGATCCATTTGGCGAGAAGCGAGGGCATTTTGACTACCAGTCTCTGCTCAGCCGCTTGCAGCTCATCCAGCAAAGAGTTCGGGAGAAACATCGGTGCGAGACCGTGGATATAGACTCAGAATCCAGCTCTTCTGAAACAGAAATGGACACCCAGGGGAGCTCAAACCCCTAAACTATGGGAATGCAACCTGTAGAATGCAAGACTTCTAACGTCAGACAGTAACCGTAGCCAAGTTCTTAAGGATTACACGGACAAGACAATAAAAGACTTTGTTTGTAAACAAAGCCCGTTTTTTGCTTCTGGCTGCTGTTTGGGGGCAGAGTCAGTTCATCTCTCTAATACTTAGGGGATGATGGCCTGTAATCATCCTATAGACAAGAGGCTGGGGCTTGGACAACTGGAGCCTGGATCGAACACGAAGGCGGCGCACTTTCATGGATTCAATCCTTTTCTTCGTGAAATGGTCATTTAGTGGCCCAGACAAGCCAAAGAGTTTTATTGCAAGCAAATTGAGCCTTCCCCAGCCACGGGATTAACCAGTTGCCATTTTTAGCTCCAGCCATGATTACCCACCCCCACTAAATCTTCACCCCCCCCAGAGAAGTGCACTTTGTCTAATCTAATGGGCATTGTCCATTTCCCTGCTGTTACACATCTATTTGGTACTGGGATAAATCAAGGCCTTGCTGTTGTTTTTTTTTTTTTTTTTTTTTTTTTCTTTTTTTTGGGGTTGGTTTTTTTTTTTTTTTTGTGATGGTTGTAAATTTGGATGAGAAAAGTGTATACATCTCTTATTTTACTAAAATTGTATCATACAGAAAGAATTTAGGGACATGAAAAAAGTTCCAATAAATCTGTTTTCTCAATTAGAGGATAAAATCGGCATAGATGCCGGCTAGTTAGAGGAGTGAAAACGTGAGCCATAAAGAAAATCCAATCAGGCCGTACGTATATGTGACTGTTATTGGGTTAGTGTATGGGGGCAATGAGAGCAATTAAATAGGGCAACTTCTCCCTTCGTTATCTAGGAAAGCCCAATGTTCTCATTTTGTCTTTTTAGGGCTCGTTCGCACCAACAAAAACAATTGTTTTCTATGTGTCCTGTTCACACAACACTAGTATCACATGCAGATTTTTTTTTTTTTTTTTTTGGTTTGTTCTTTCTGCGCAGGAATCTGCAACGTGTATAAATCTCATTGTAGCGCACATGAAAACTTGATGTCTGCAAGAGAAATCTGCACTTATGGTGTGAACAAGGCCTACATTTTACAAAGTCAGATGAGAAGTTGTAACATTTAAAATTGAACGCGGGGGAATTTTTTTTTTATTTTGTTTGGAAAAAGTCAAAAAGAAATAAATTCTGTCTGTTTTTTTATTTCTGTTGGTTTCAGCAGAAATTCATTGACTGATATTTCATTGATGACCCTGTGATACACATATATGAAATAGGGTGATACAGAGATCGATCTCCATTGAATAGATTGCCCATCTCTTACCAACCTGAAAGAACACAAATCTAACTTCCTTGTGCTCTATGCAATCACAAAACTTTAAACTGGTGCCGTCTTGCCCGTTCCTTTGTCCAGAAAACCCAACTTGCTCCATTCTTCACCATTTCAGTTCCCATACCTTTATACCTCTTACAGACATGAACAGTTTTGATATTTCCACTATGAGCTTGTTTATTTGGTGTTGACTTTGCTGTAACTTAAAGGTGAACTCCAACCTACCATACATCCTTTTTATTTTTTAATCCCTTTTTATTTATTTTTTTCTTTAATCTCTTTATTTTTAATCCCTTTTTTTCCCATTTTATTTTATATCCTATTTTTTTTATCCTATTTTATATAACCCTTTTTTTTTTTTTTTATCCTTTTTTTATTTTTTTATCCCTTTTTTTTATTTTTGTTATTCAATACAGAGAAAGGTAAAAGGAAAGTACAAAGTATAGCAAGCCACATGCATGTCAGGTAAGTTATGCACAACTGCAAAGCCTCACATACATGGAACACTGTTTCTCACAGTGTGCATTAGAAGCTGCAGTACGTTTGATAGTACATTTGGAGGACATGAAGCATCATCCAGAACTTTCTGGCTCAGTCTGACTGTCCCTGGCCTACCTCATTTCATTAATTGGATTGCAGTTCTTTCAACTGTGGAGGCCCAGAATGACGTGTGGGCATTACCACAATCTCCCATTTTCAGAAAGGATTAGGAAGCACCATGCCAACCATGATCTGCCAGCTTTGCATAGAGAAGCACAAAGACCTTGTAATATATCACCGGGTCTAAAACAAGGTATGGAATAAAAACAGGTTTTGTTATAATTTAATTAGCATATTGATGAGGTGGTGGGGCGGGAAGGGGAGACCAGGCATATAAACAGATTAGACGCCAGCTTTAAAATAGCCAATTAAAACATACTGTTTTTTATTTTGAATGGGAGGGGGGGCTTTTTGGCAATATTGTTTTGCAAAAAGTAGAATTATTGTAAATAAAAATATACATTTTTATATTATAATGTCTCCCCTCTAAAACAATGTTTCTGGTTCAAAGGCATAGCAGTTGCTTGCTCATATGAAAAAAAAAAAAATAATCATTTTGCACATTTCTTTTGTGACACTGAAAAAGTTCAAATGAATGAAAGCAAAGAAGAAAAAAAAATGTTAAGGGTTAAGTTCACCATTGGGAACATGTTACATGTTCCTGCTATCCCCCTCCCTGTGACAGCAGGCTGGGGATCTTCGCCCCACACAGCCGCATCATTCCCCTTCAGAGTTCTGTGAAAGAATAAACTACAACTACCAACAGCCTAGGCGGCGTGTAGTTCCCAATTAACTACCCGGGAGCTCTAGGTAAATGATTCTTCCTGTCATGTGTAACTAGTTAAAAAAAAAAAGTGCATTTGCTATATATATATATATATACACACACACACACATACAGTCAGGTCCATAAATATTGGGACATGGACAATTCTTACATTTTTGGCTCTACACACCACCACAATGGATTTGAAATGAAAAGAACAAGATGTGCTTTAACTGCAGACTGTCAGCTTTAATTTGAGGGTATTTACATCCAAATCAGGTGAACGGTGTAGGAATTACAACGGTTTGCATGTATGCCTCCCACTTGTTAAGGGACCAAAAGTAATGGGACAATTGGCTTCTCAGCTGTTCCATGGCCAGGTGTGTGTTATTCCTTCATTATCTCAATTACAATGAGCAGATAAAAGGCCCAGAGTTCATTTCAAGTGTGCTATTTGCATTTGGAATCTGTTGCTGTCAACTCTCAAGATGAGATCCAAAGAGCTGTCACTGTCAGTGAAGCAAGCCATCATTAGGCTGAAAAAACAAAACAAACCCATCAGAGAGATAGCAAAAACATTAGGCGTGGCCAAAACAACTGTCTGGAACATTCTTAAAAAGAAGGAACGCACCGGTGAGCTCAGCGACACCAAAAGACCCGGAAGACCACGGAAAACAACTGTGGTGGATGAGCAAAGAATTCTTTCCCTGGTGAAGAAAACACCCTTCACAACAGTTGGCCAGATCAAGAACACTCTCCAGGAGGTAGGTGTATGTGTGTCAAAGTCAACAATCAAGAGAAGACTTCACCAGAGTGAATACAGAGGGTTCACCACAAGATGGAAACTATTGGTGAGCCTCAAAAACAGGAAGGCCAGATTAGAGTTTGCCAAATGACATCTAAAAAAGCCTTCACAGTTCTGGAACAACATCCTATGGACAGATGAGACCAAGATCAACTTGTACCAGAGTGATGGGAAGACAAGAGTATGGAGAAGGAAAGGAACTGCTCATGATCCTAAGCATACCACCTCATCAGTGAAGCATGGTGGTGGTAGTGTCATGGCGTGGGCATGTATGGCTGCCAATTGAACTGGTTCTCTTGTATTTATTGATGATGTGACTGCTGACAAAGCAGCCGGATGAATTGTGAAGTGTTTCGGGCAATATTATCTGCTCATATTCAGCCAAATGCTTCACAACTCATTGGACGCCACTTCACAGTGCAGATGGACAATGACCCAAAGCATACTGCAAAAGCAACCAAAGAGTTTTTTAAGGGAAAGAAGTGGAATGTTCTGCAATGGCCAAGTCAATCACCTGACCTGAATCCGCTTGAGCATGCATTTCACTTGCTGAAGACAAAACTGAAGGGAAAATGCCCCAAGAACAAGCAGGAACTGAAGACAGTTGCAGTAGAGGCCTGGCAGAGCATCACCAGGGATGAAACCCAGCGTCTGGTGATGTCTATGCGTTCCACACTTCAGGCTGTAATTGACTGCAAAGGATTTGCAACCAAGTATTAAAAAGTGAAAGTCTGATTTATGATTATTATTCTGTCCCATTACTTTTGGTCCCTTAACAAGTGGGAGGCACATATGCAAACTGTTGTAATTCCTACACCGTTCACCTGATTTGGATGTAAATACCCTCAAATTAAAGCTGACAGTCTGCAGTTAAAGCACATCTTGTTCCTTTCATTTCAAATCCATTGTGGTGGTGTATAGAGCCAAAAATTATAGAATTGTGTCAATGTCCCAATATTTATGGACCTGACTGTATATATTTAATTTTTTTTTAAAAGGTGAACTTATCCTTTAAGGCCCAATTAGTAATATAATAAGTGGTTAAATTGGAATGCTTTTTTTTTTTTTCTTGTAATATTGCTTTTGCTGATGTGCATGCAGAGCAAAGGTCACCTCTTTGATCTACAGATGAACGAACAAGTAAATTTCTGAGAAAAATGTATTGCAATACTCACTGACATTTGCAAACTATTAGCAAGTGTCATTTTACACAGAAGGGGCTGCATTGTGATAGGCAAGTCTGCTGTGTCTATGATACATAGCAAGTTTCAACTGTCAAAAGAAAAGCCAGGATTTAAAAGAGCAGGGCATGTGAGATACACCTTTAGATATGTTGAAGTTTTTTTGGGAGGAGAAGATAGATCCCTTCTCCTGGGTTTTTATATATATTAAAAATATGTATTTTATGTCACTTTTTATATATATATATATATATATAATAAATAAACTCAGGAGAGAGGATCCATCTTCTCCTCCCAAAAAACTTCATTAAAAAAAATAAAATATATATACTTTAAATTTTTTTTTTTAATGACTTTTTTTGGGAGAAGATGGA